ACAAACGAAGCAAAAGAAACAAAAGTAAATGTTAGCAGAAGTGAGGAATCAGTTATCAAAAGTCTAAATGTGTAGAGATATGCATTTGAATTAAAAATATTAAACAAAAAAAAGCATAAAAGCTGTGTCGGACCAGTCATGTGTTATATATGCCATATATATACCCGGGTTTAGTGTAATCAAAATGAGAGGGTATAGTATAACCAATATTTCATAATCTATGCGTACATTTTATTTGTGAATTTTTTGTGCCGCCTTTCCCCCACACACTCATATTTAGTATACAGTACATCCAACTAGCATTTGATGTGAAATGTATAAACAATAGGATATATGAATATAAGAGATATTGAAATAAATGTTTGAAAAATTTGAGACAACTTTCAAAGTTATATAGAATTATAAATAGCAGTGAAATGTATTGCTTAGAGAATCAATAAAAATGAGGGAAAGAGATGTGAGACAAGTGTGAGGAGTACTCTATAGTATAGTACTGTATAAGACTTACGAATCGAAAATGCATTAAATGTGTTCACAAAAACCAATCGATACTAATGTGTTGTTCAGCTTCACTGATATGATAGCACCAAATATACACAATATATACGGCATATATTTGTGTGTGTATAGCAATATATAAGTATATATATATGTGTGTACGTTGAGAGGGGTGTCGATTATATTGAGCCGAATATATAAACTACAATTCATTATAAAAGGTGCAGTTGTGTCAAATATAGTAAGAATCTGTATTATATTGTATGATATTTTTGTTGCTTTTTATATTAAAAGATAAATTTTGAGTTAGTTAGCAGTTGAGTCATTGTAGAGATGATGTCTTATCGTATTGGGCTATGAGTTGAAGCGAAAACTCTTCACATCGATGACAATGACTGATGACTATGGCCTACAAAGAGCTATGAAAGGACTGCCTTTAAGCTTATAGTTGAGATGATATGATCGCTTCAAGTCATTCATCTCTGTCCTAACATTCATTAGAGCTTTTGCATCCTAACGTTAATTTCACTCAAATTAGTGCTAACATTGCTATTAAAATCACTTTAATTCCTATAACTTATAAATCTACAACAAAATAATAATTTTGGCTAAACACACAAAATATTTTTATATAACTTATGCATTAATTCATGCGTTGTGCAAATGCTAACAAACACATATATAATCTAACAGTACTTTACTATATATTGTATATTATATGTTAGCATATTATTGAGTGAATAGAGGACTCATCACTCTTTTAAAAAAAATACATTCATATTATAATATGATACAGTATTTGAGTATAACATGAATGGCCACACCTGAGTCTAGAGAGAAATTCATAAAAAATTGCCTGAAAATAGAGTATTGACTTCACTTGATATTCACAATATAAAAAATGCACTCAAATCTCAGTTTTGCATTATTTACAATACTTTGAGCTTTCAATGACATGAATTAGGAGTGTCTACACAACCATTCAATAGCTTTTTTTATATACATATTTTCTCTCTTTCTCTCACATTTGATTGAGTCTACAGTATATTTGTATAAAAAATCAAAGTCTTGAAGATAGCAATTGTCATGGAGTTCAACACATCCGTGAGAGACGCCCCTAAAGTGACCCCAACACTGATCTCACGATCACTTTTTAATGCTATACTAAAAGCTCTTTTATATCAAACTTTACTGATATTCCCTCAAACTTCTTATATTAAAAAGTTTTTTCTCAATATTTTTCTACAACGTCTTCATATGTTTGTAACATTACTCTAAAGGGAACGGCAGTTCAAGATGAGAGAACAGGCAGCACAAGCCAACAGTACTCAAGTTATTATCAAATGAAATGATGCAGTGCTGTAGTGCTGTAGTGTAGTACCAGTACTGGTGTTCAGTAGATTGAAAATCCCCTCTTTTTCTCTTCTCTTCTCTTTTTTTTTTGCTTTACTTTGATTTATGTGACCGGGATTTGAACCGACATAACATACATATACACACAGACTATATATATTGAAAAAATAAGATTGAATGAGAAAGGACTTCAAAACCTACACAAACCAACAGAATTTGAAAACCTACACAAACCCAACATAACCAACAAATCCAATGTATGCGAGTGTTTGGTCGGACGTAAAAATTTAAGTTATATTCAAGCAATACTTGTGAAAATCAATTGAAATAATATTGGGTCCACAAGAATGCGTTTCCAATATTATATTAAAATACATGTGATTGCCATTGGCTTTGATAATACTGTAGCTATTGGTATTTGGATTAAATAACATCCATAGGATCCAATAACTTGTCTTTTATAACTACAGAGAGAGAGAGAGAGAGAGAGAGAGAGAGAGAGAGAGAGAGCTTAGTAAAACAGTCATACCAGTGTTATGTAAGTGGCATTGAGTTGTCATAATTCATAGGAATGATACATAAGTCTAACCAAATGTAGGGAAACAGCAGTGTATGAGACCTAACCATTTGATTCATTATATGATTCTTTATGTTATATCAAGTAATCTGTCTTTGAATGCTTTGAACACTAAGTCCAACCAATAGTGAAAAATAATATTTGGATGCAATTTAAATAGTGAATACATATACATATACATATACATATACATATACATATACATATACATATACATATACATATACATATACATATACATATACATATACATATACATATACATATACACACAAACTTGAGTGCCATTGCTTTATAGTGAAAATGAAAAATAATGCTAACATTATATGCTGTCAAAAATGAATTATTGATTCAATAATAATGTAAATATTCCATCCATGTTATACTGTACTATATTTATAAATTTATATACTGCTTCAATGATAATTTCGTGTATATATATATATAAATATGGTATTTTTGTTTCATTTATATATATATATTATAAATGTATATACAGTATATAAATATATACGGTCACTAATATATATATATTTAATATTTAATATTTAATATATACGCCATTGTTACCGCATTTATAATATTTTAATATTAAACATAAAATACAACTACAATGTACAGTATATATATATATATATATTGTGTGTGTGTGTGTGTGTGTGTGTGTGTGTGTGTGTGTGTGTGAGAGAGAGAGAGAGAGAGAGAGAGAGAGAGAGAGAGATCAGTGAAGCGAAAATGGATTTTCAATTTTTATTATCTATATTTCTTACAAAACAAATGCATTATATATTATCTTATATTAAAATTTCTATTTTTAGAAATATATTTAGATATTTCTTATTTTTATTAATCTATGAAATATTTTTGTTTATTATATTTTTATACAGATATAATAAATTTGTGATTAATATTATGATGTTTTTGCCATTGTTATTATGTAAACAGGTGCTAATTTTATATATACTGTAAGGACAGTTAGTTTAGGTATGGGTCATAATGAGAAAAACACTTGCAAACACTCACACTACTCAAATAGTCAATTATTTGTTTGGCTCAGAGTGTGTGGCACTGGAGACAGCTTTGGTACCAAACAGTGCTGAACCAACTGAGCCAAACGCAGGTGTTTGGTCTCATAATTTCATATTTCCTCCACTAATATACAGAAACAAACATAAAGACAAAGTATTGGCTACTTTTAAAAACACATGAATTATGAAAATGCTTTTATTGACAAATAAGTATTGAATAGAAAGAAAATTTTACTATAATATATGTATATTGTATTTATACACTACTATATGTAATGAACTGAAATTGTGAATTAAATTGTTTTGAGTTAGACTTATCTATATTTGTCGTGTTTGTATCCAATATTCATTAAAAACACATTTTATGCCAATGACATGATATTGCCATTAAAGTGTTTGCCAATACTAAAACAGTTGTGTCGCCAATCACTCTTAAATTATCTCCACTGACTTACTGATTGAGAAAATAAAGTAATTTTCAATTCATGCAAACCTTACACACAACTAAAGCAATGACTGAAATTGAGTTTAAATTTTTATTTTTTACTAAAGAATTCCGTTTACCGATCATTAAGTTACGGGTCATTAAATTGTTGAGAGAAAACACGCTTTACTGCACTATATTTTCCATCAAATAATTATAACTTTTCAGTTCTTTAGTCCATTTTCTTTAATAATGCTTATTATATGCAAATTGTTTTACTTTATACTACAGTATGTATATTATATAGTAGTATATATAATATTGTTGAGTCTTTAGATAGTCTTTATAGTGATTGAGAAACAAAATCATTTAAAGTCTTAACTCTTAAACTATACAAAATCATTAAATGACAATAAAATACATTTGGATTTTTACGATAAATTCTAGTTTGCCATAACTTATAAGAAATTGTATTGTATTTGTTAAGTAGTCGAGTAATCTAATCGATTGCAAATCAATCAAATTATTGTTTGTTTTCTACTATTGTGTGTCCAATACATAACACAGGCATTACATCACTCAAACAAATGGCTTCTTCTTCTTCGTCTTCATCTCTCGTTTTTATTTTCTATTTCTGTTTATTCTTCACTTAACGCTCTTCTCTTACAATCATTTTTCTCTCATCAGATTCAATAGTTTTAAGACTTAATATAATAATAAAATCAATTATCATTCATCTCTACTTATTAAAAATATTGATACTTATTCAAAAATATCATTTATTTTTTTCAGAAAAAAACATTTATCTAAATCTTATTTTAAAATTTTAATTAAACTCATTTTAATTTATACTTTTGCTGAACTGTGAAATGTTTTTGAATAAATTATATTTTAATTATTAACAAAATTTTTCAGAAAAGTTACAAAAGTAATATAATTTTTGTTAAAATTAATCTTTTTATACATTTTACATAAATTAAGATTACGCAATAAACTTTTGCCTAAAAATACAATGTTAAAACTTATTTTAAATAATATATATAATATAATACTTTTTTATATACTTTCTAATTCACAACCAAATCAGAGAATACAATATAAATATTTAAAATATAGTAATTCATATCATTGTTTTCATACTCATATCATACTCATAATAGTGAACATATGTTTCATCACCTGTAGTGATCTTATCAATTAAAACATGTCCCTTATTCTTCCACATCTTTAGATTTTCTCGGCAAATGTTCACACGTTGTTGTTTTTGTTCATCTGATAGAAAGTGAGGAACAAACCGACATAAACGCTTCCGTACGCCAATCAAATCAGTGCATATTTTTTGAAGTGTTGTGCGATGAATGCCTGATTTTTCCTCTAACTCACGGTATGTGATCCATGGATCTGCTCTTATTATCTTTTCGACAGCGGCCGCATTTTCAGGGGTCGATATAGTAACTTCCGGACCTTTTCTTTCGCCATCTTTGAGTGACCGTACACCGAGTTTGAAATGTCGGATCCATTTGGTGATTGTACTGTAAGCAGGGCTATTATTGCCCAACCTGTCCACCATCCGACGATAAATTTCGTTCGGGTCTTGTGTGGACAAAAACTCATAATAAATTATGACACGTTTGTGTTCCTCCGATAACTCCATTGGTATCACCGAAAAACTTCTGACCAGACCTCTTTAAATGGTTATATCTTATACACGACTAGAGATAATTAGATGAAAATCACAGGTTAAGGGTTTGATATGTAAACAATCAAAACCACGTGTCAACCAATTTTTTATATTATACCGTTTAGGTGGCGCTATCTTCCCAAAAGACAAGCTGTATATATATATATATATATAGAGAGAGAGAGAGAGAGAGAGAGAAAGAGACTTATAAGAGAGTATCTGTTAATCATCATTAACAATATCACAAATGAAAATTTTTGTCTATATATTATATAATAATAGAGAACTTTATAAATATGTCCGGAGGGGACATACATATATACATATTCTCTCTCTCTCTCTCTCTCTCTCTCTTTCCATTTTTGTTTTAACGTATAAAAATGTTGAATATGTATTTTATTATATATATATATACAGTATATATATATACTGTATACACTGTAAAATATGTATACTTATTAAAATTTTAAATTATGAGCAGCAACATGATAACATTGTAATTATATTTAGCGCGTCGTTTGCAATTATAAACGACACAACTATAAGATAATTGTAGAGACAAACACACCGATAGCATCATAGACTCGGTTATAAATCAAACATATATATATTATATACATTGCATTAATATATAGGATTATATAATAAATGAAAGAAAATAAATATAAAAATCACACAAATTACTTAACATTACATTAAAGAGATATATACAGTATATATAAATAGTATGTATATATATATATATATATATATATAGAGAGAGAGAGAGAGAGAAATAGATATGACTATTCATACTATATAAAGATGTATTAATATATGTGAATATATTTATTTTCTATAACATAATGCCGTAAATAAATTGATATCAATGTGCAAATGTGTGGATATGTGTAGATGTGGTGCTCATTGATTTCCAACAGTGTTTGTCTTTTATGGAGGAAATGACCGCCAGTGCCACCACTGCCACCACTATTACCCATTCAATGAAAATGTTAATGGATCTCATCTTTTCAATATTTTTCACAACAAATACAATGTATAAAAGCAAATGTGTTGCCTTTGAATATAACAAAACTCAACAAAAATTTAACAAAAAAGAGTTTTTGTATATAACTTTGCATTTCATTCTTGTTTTATTTAATAACTCTTAAAAATTTTAGATCTCAAACAAAATATAAATAAAATAAAACATAAAAAAATGTTTGAAAAGATAAAAGATTCTTATGTAATGAAATTGATTTTCTGGCAAATAAATGAATGAATCAAACGGTAAGTCATGTGTTAGACAAATAACAAAAATATCAACGAAATATTTGACGCCTATTTCAAAATTACAACAAAAAGTAACAATTATTGGCAAATGTACTAAAGTTTTAATATAGTTTATGTTAAGTAATTAAAAAAAAGAAAATTTTTATATATTAATTTCATAGATATAGTTAATAGAAAAGACTAAGAGTTGTCTTTCTAGTGACGCGACTCTCATAATAAATGATATCAACTTTTTTATTATTACAAACATAGATATGTTTGACTATTAATTTACTAATCATAAGAAACCGTAAAAATTAACTAAAGTTTTTAAAATATAACACATAGTGAAAGATATGGCTAACAAAAAAAAGTGATAAAATCATAGCTTAAATGTTATTACAATAATTATATTAATAGCATTACCATTGTTTTTAATTTATTTTATATTAAATAATTTATACAATTGATATATTGTATATATATATATATGCATTAAATACATAGATTTTATGTGAGTGTGTGTGAGAGAGAGAGAGATTGTTAAGATTGTTGTTGTTTTGTTGAATAGTAATAATTATAATAAAATAAAAGAGTAGAAAAAGTGGGTGCAAACACATCTAATATAATACCAATTAATTGTATATTAATACACTATATTATCATATATACAATATAACATTTAATACATATATTATATATTGATAAATGCATTAAAATAAAATAAAAAAATATTAATATTAAGATTCTGTTAGTGATACTGTATAAGTATTTAATTATTTATAAACTAAGTGTATAATACATTATATATAAAAATATGATTACTCTATAATTATAAAACTGAAAGTTCATTTATGGTTTTTTGTATTTATTTTTTTTGTTTACATATAAATGAGTTTTTGGATTAAAAATAATTTTGTAAGTCTAAGTCATGAGACAGTGATTAATAGTAATATTAAATAACAAAAATTTAATTAATTTTACATTAAATATAAATAAAGTGATCACAATATATGAATCATATCTTAGATGATTAAAGCCATGGATTGATATAATCCAATGTTTAGACAATAGAAGTGATAGTGAATTAGTATTATGTAAAAGTGTTACACATTATGATAGACAGTGTGCTCTAAATGTTGAAAGTTATCAAAAATCAATGATAACTAGTGATACATATATTTGAAAGTGTAGTGAATATTATTCATGCGATCAAAATATGATTTAATGATTACCTGATATAAAATATTATCAATGGTTTGAATAATGTCTGAATGTCTTTGTGGTGATGCCAACAAAGGAAAGGTAGTATTAAGTGAAGCCATTTTGGGCTCACATTTGGCCATTGGGTCGATTGGCCGATGAACTCAAAAAAAACAACTTTACTTGTCTTCAACAGCCCTCAAGTGGCAGAAGAGGGTAACCATAAAATTGAACCGTCAGTACATGTGTTCACCATAGATGGTGACGTCATATAACTGCATTGAGGAGGAGTTACATTAGAAATGCGGTGCAATCCCGGAGCCAATCATTGTGTTTGATAAGCCATTGCAGTCATTGAATATCTGATCCATCACTGTCTTCATAGTGAAAGCCCAATGGCCTGAAGCATGTGAACCAACAAACATAATATATATGAAATGATACCATACTTTGTATTAGCGTTTAATGTAAACTTCATCTCAAGTATAATAATCCTAAATACTCCACGAATTACACTATTATACACACAATTGTTTTGATCAACAGTTGTCTTACTCTTTACTTATCAATATTTGCTAACAAAGTAAAGTTTGAACCAAACTATTAGTTATCCAATACATGTATATGTATTATATGATACATTAGACACGAATAATTAACAATAAGTTATAATTTACTATCATTAATCATTGAAGTGAACATTATAAACATTTTTGATATTTTTTGATGATTTGAATATAATTTTTGTAATTACTTTGAGATTCATTAAAAAAAATGTTCACCGATTATAATAAATACAGAATTAATTTAAAGGTCTAATTTTAATAATAACAAATTAAAACCTAATCTCAGATGCATTATATATGCATTTTATATTTAAATTGTATCATATATTTATTATAAAATATACATAGTAAATATAATATATACCGGTATATCTTATATAGGAAATTATTATTATTATATATATATACTATATATATTATATTTGTATAATATATTGACAAATAATATATATAAAATCAAAATATATGTACATATAAATCAGCATATAAATTAAATGCTATATAAATAAATATGTATTATATTTAATATTAAAATACAGTATATACTATATATAAATCAAATCGCTTAAATATACAAATAAATTATAATTATACTTTTTAAAGTCACATATTATACAATTTAATATCAAACTCTCTGATAGTAGTTTACAATAATTTAATATAATTAAATAAAAATAAATTTTAAAAATCGCATTATAAGTCAAAACAATAATTACTTAGTAGTCTTAGATTTGATTATACATTATATGTATGTAAAGGTATACCTGAAAAGCCTAACATTCCGTTCTTTTATTTAACTCATGAAGATTCAGACCCTCAGGCGTTACACAAAAAAAAGTAAAAATGAGTTTAAATTAGTTTTTGTTGTTTATCCGCCAAAAGTGACCCCTTATTAGAGGTTCAAAATTAAACATTTTTTAAGAACCGAACCGAAACCGTAAAGACAAAAACAAACCCATTTGTCCGGATTCCGGAACCAATTAATAATAATAATCAATTTTATAAAGCATCACAAACTTTAAAATATTAGATAACACTCATCAAAATATTATTAGTTGTTTTATTTTTTATCCACATTTTTTTATTAACAATTGTGTAAAAAAAGTATTGTCAAAAAATACTCCAAAAATTTTATATACAGTAGTTGTTAATAATGTATAATATTATACAAAATTATACATGTATTTACAGTTTCAATAAAATATAAATCAAAACAATAATATGTAATACTTTACCATCAATAAGTTGTATACAATACATTAACAATATCAAATTAGTATTATATTTGCTATCAATTTATAATGTAATTTACTAAAAAATACACAAAACCGAAACCGTTTTTTTGGTTCCGGTTTTTACGGTTAAACTGTAGGATTGTAAAAATTTTTATCAATGATTTTCAGTAAAAAATTACTCACAAAAAACACATGTAATATTCTGTATTTATAGTGTCATTTGATTTATATTATCAGTGTTGTGACGGTCACACATAATATCATTATAACGTTAAGTATTATTGTATTAAAATTATTAGTGATAAAAATATGTATAGAAATAAATTGTATAATTATATGTTAAATAAATGAATGCAATTGAGTTGATATGGCGGACGGCAATCACTAATATATAAATTGCAGAGAAAGGCATAATTTATGTGCAATTCTTCACTAGATTTCTATCTTCTTCATCAGTCTTCTGATCTATAGTTATGTTGTCTTCAAAACAAATTATAATTCTTAAAGTTTTCACAATATTTTTTGGTTATTTAAGTATTTCATTTCTCTGTAAATATAAATTTTAATAAATTATTTAAATTCAATTAAATCTAGTTTTTTAAACATACTGTACTGTATATCATCACATATATGTATATTCGTTCAAATTGTAGATTTTTATCTATAATAAACAAACATTAGTTTTATTATAATGTGTTGCAATAAATATTATTATTAT